AGATCAAAATATTCTTCTGTCATATTCAAAAGTCTCTGATTTTGCATTCTCAAAGTTTTGAAGGATTTCACTAGTGTTTAAGTGTTAAATCCTTTTCAAAACTTGATAAAATCCTGCAAACCATTTGCTTATAACCCTTTAAGCATCAAATTCAAATTGAGATGGGGCAAATATTGTTTGAAGACAACGATCATGTGTTCGAGTTTTTATTTTCAATTTCGCCTTCCTGTTTTGATTCTCTATTTCTTCTCTATTCTCTTTTGTGAAGTTCTATTTTCCAACAAGTGGTCACCGACAATTAGAGCTGGTTCGAATGAATTCTCCCGGAGACAAGATGGGGTCGGCGGGACTACTATAGCTCATAATATATTGAAAAGTAATATCACATTTTGGCCATATTATTTCTTGGGATTCAAGTTGGTGCGATTAGAAACCTACATGTGACCCAGTGAGAAAGAAGCATTTAGGTTCGTTTCCTACGGCAACCCGACCTGATATTGCATTTGAATGCTCTTGTATTGTAACATATTATTAAAGTGATAAATAATTTTTTTAAAGATATATATTTAAAATGTAGGGAAAAATTATAAGTTTTGTATAAAATTATTTTATTAAAAAGTTTATAATTAAAAAATAAGTTTAAACCAAATCATTTTCATATAAGTTCAATCGGACTCTAAGAATAGATGTTTGTTGTGGTTGTACCTCATGATATCCATGGTCCCCACTCCCCATTTTCACCAGCTCTTTTATCTTTGCGCTCCGAATGTACACATTTTATTATTTTTTATTTTTTGTATTTACTAGACCACCAAAATGTACGCGTTCGAATCCCATCGGGAAGCTTCAATAAAACTATATTTGACTGTCCCAATGACGAGAGATACTTGGTTAGGACTATTCTACCCAACTATTTCTCCCCCAATGACCGTTGATATTATAAATATTATATTTCTCGAGAAACATTGTATTGAGTAAGGGGATAATGACAGCTTAAAGTCTGAAAATAATGTCAACTACATCTTAATGTGCATGATTATGAAAGATTCATTTTTGTTATAGTATTAACACGTGTTCAAATGATTTTCTTATGTATACTAAAAGGAATTGACGCTACAAACACTTTTAAGTAGATTGAAATTAAGTTAGATCAACATAGAAAATCCCTTAGTACAGAGGCTATATAAGCTGTTTGGAAACAAGTAGGGTAGTTTTGATGTTTTTTTATAGTACATTTATAAATATAAGTGTTAAATGGATGAAATTGAGCTGCTCGACTCATTCACCGTCGGGCTAGCCTTGATCCATTTAAAACAATTTCATTTATATTATGTCAAAAGAATTATCAAAGAGAGAAGGAAATGATAAACCTAAAATTTAAATTTCCTCAAGTTAATTATACTCACACAATAATTTTTTATATCTACACCACAATTTAATTACAAAAATTGTTTCCAATATTTGCCCACTTTTATTTTTATCTCCGCAATTTTTTTCTTGTCGCATTATCATTCTTAATCTTCAATTAATTAATATATTTTGTCTCTAATTATGATTTTTATCCAAAAATTCTACTTACATTCATTGAAAAGATGGACAAATATTTTGTTTAATTTTTGTAGTAATTATTTATTTCTATTATTTAATAATATGATAGAAAAATTTATATTTTTGGCTCTCACAACAAATATTTTGGACGAAAATAGTCTCTATAGAGAAGATGTAAAAATTAATAGAGGGTTGATAATAAAAAAAAAATTAAAAGAAATTGAGAACATAAGTGTAAAAATAAGAAAAGTTTAGAGATATCAATTGTAATTAAAATGTGGCATAGTTAACAAAAATTGTTGTGTGAATATATTTACCCTTTCCTCAAAAGCATTATAAAATTGCAAAATTCCTAATTTGAGCTTAGGACCATTTACAACTTACAATACATATGTGGAGTTAAAATTGTACATAATGAATATTTCTTGCACACTTTTTAAAACTAAACAGATGAAATAAATACAATATAATAACAATTAACTAAATAAATTATATTTACAATTATACCTTAGTAGTATGTAATTGCACTTCTGAAAAGATGTTGGAAGGCTACCTTCATATTCTTGAAGTCATTGGAGAATATAAACATGTGCTATTATTTGAGTTGTAATATTGCTATGGACCACGTGATGCATCTCGATTTAATATATAGTATCACATGATCAATTGTGCTACATGTATATAATTATTTACATACATGATGTAGTGAGATATATCTGAATAATAAATTCTTTAACCAAATAAAAAATCTTTCCCACTGTTTTTTTTTTTTTGATATATGTAATCATTAAATAACTCATTATGTACAAGTAGCATTATTCATTCCATAATAGACCCTATGATTATAAGTTTTAATTAAGCAACCGGTGTTGTGAAAGTTTTGGGCTACGCTCGACAAATATTAATACCATTGTGTATTTCACCATTGAATAAGTGAGTCAAACTAATGTCTTGTCCCTTGTTGGTGTTCCAAAAAATATTTATTTCAAACATTTTAAACTCAATAAAAGCTAATTCTATATAGTATGAATTAAAGTACAAATTACACAATTTTATATTCTTTCTCGTAGCGAGAATCTATTATTTAGAAGGTAAAATGTAAACTACTTTGAAGTAACTAAAAGCAATATTCGATCTCAAGTAATTTGAGATGAGGATCAAGCACTGTGCTAGGAACACAGAATTTAGGCTCTTGCACTAGTAAAAAGGCTAAAGAAATATTTTAATAACGAAGGCAAAACAAAATTTAAATTAAAGAAACATGATTCACATTTCACAGAGGATGAAAATATGTTTAACAAATTATTAATCATATGTTTTACTTATCATCAATTAAAAAAATTCATTTCAAAATTGATGACAAAAATTAATTATCTCGTTTATAATTGATTAAAGTTTCTAAGCTAATATAATTACGTTCAAAATTTATATGTAAATATTAAATTGAATTTACTAATACCATTTTGGGAATATGAGAAAATTACGGTGCAAATACTGTTTATACCTCCATATTTTTGATTTTACATTCTCAATTTACCTAAAGAACCTCCAATATATGATTTTAATTGTACTACTGATTGCAAATATTTAACATTACAATTATATTCAAATATCATACTGAAATTGGAAAAAAAAATAACTCATATAGACAACGTAATGAACCTTGTTATATGTACACTATATTATTCACTTTTTTTTTTTTTTTTTTGGACAAGGGAACCCGCAGTCGCTACCCGAAGGTGTGCACTAGGTAAACCCCACCTTGTGATCTTAGCCGGCAAAGGACCACAAAGAGGTAAACCAGCCTAGGTTACTCATAGCTGACTGGCTCAAACCAAGAAAGTCAATAGGCAGCTCCAACGGGAATCAAACTAGCAACCTCACAATTGCTAGTCCAACTGCCCGACCAACTTGGCTAGGGTTGCCCCCTATTATTTACTTTAGTTTATACTTTATCATGTGGTATTACTCTATTAGACAATTTAAATTTCAAACAACTTTTCCATCCTATTGACACTTGACAAGTATCTGTTAAGCATACAGGTTGTACAAAATAGTATACACCAAAAAATTTATTAATCAAATTAAAATTTAGCAAATAATGTGCAATATGACAAGTATGTTCATCAATGCAATGTATTTGTTAAATTTCAAACAATTTTTCCATCCAATAATATTTGTTAACCATACAGGTTGTACAAAATACACCAAAAAAATTTATTAATCAAATTAAAATTTAGCAAATAATGTGCAGTATGACAAGTATGCTCAGCAATGCATTGTATTTAGCCCATGTTTGTCACCCATCATTATACATTTTATTATATTATTTTTTCTACAGTAATCATTTTAACAATATTTTTCATTAAAATAATATTACACGTTAACCAAAAACTTTTAACTACACATTCTGCATCAATTCGCTATTTCATAATATATTTTTCAAAATTAAAGGGGATCAAACACACCCTTAATAACAAATAGTTTCTTTACAAGTCAAATTATCATTATCAAGACAAAAAGTTACCAAATATACATACTGATTAATGCCAACACAACACATAACATCAAAAGCTAAAGAAATATTACATCCATAGTTTATGAAGAATAACTTTAATTCTTTTTTTACCTTATTGAATGTTGAAACACAATGGGCTTTTTCGTCAAATTTTTGAAAATCTGTTAGGAAACTGAATAAATTATTTTTCTTCCAAGAAGATAATAAGAGGCTAATCATTATGTAAATTACATATAATACATAACAAGAAAATATAAGTAGTTGCAAAATTTTTACAAATTATGAAATTAGAAGAGTGATAGTTGTAAAATTAAGAGAGGGAATACTTGCAAAATTGTACTACTAACGAGTTGAGAGCGATATACTAGAGAGAATGCTAAAAATAAAATGTGAAGGAATTTGATTTTCAAACACTCCCTATTTATAAATCCAAAATTGAACAAAAATAAAATGAAATGAAATTTGAATTCATGTTCGATGGCACCTTGCATGATGTAGGGTGCCACCATTGCAATCTGCATCAATGCAAAAATTAGTCATGCAGATTACTTAACTAGGAAAGCATATGGACTCACCTAACTCTATTTGCGAACAATAGCAAGCTGCTAACTAGTGAGTTAGTTTATCCGGCTTGCGAGCCAACTTGTGTGAATACAAATGACTCACACGAATAATTTATAGCTCGACTCAATAATGGAACCGAATCGATGAACCTCTTACGATTCACCCTAGTTAACACTCCTATTTAAAAACCACAAGCAAAGTCTTTGGTGGGTTGGGGATCCGCCTCCAAAGGCCGTAACGGGTGCTGGCCCATTTACCCTTCCCGTATGAGTGTCTTAGGCACAAAATAAGCCACATTTATTACCTACGTGTCTGTACAATCACTCGCCACGTGTCCTTTCCCCTTTAACAACTCTTTTTACAAGTAGCATTACTCTAATAAAAAGTAAAAAACCAGACCCTTCTCTATTAAACACATCGACTCCGCAGAATTTTCATTTCTGCTGCTTTGCAAAATACGCTGATCATGTCACGCTCGATTCAAAATTCTAAATTCTTTGTCTCCAGATTCTCGTAAGTGCTTAAATTTAAGCCCTTGTTTTTAATTTCTTTATCTCTGATTTTATATTTTTGTTAAGTTGGATCGGGTGAAGGCCGGTTTAGCTCTGCAGATAAAAAGATTAAAAATGAAATAAATGGCTTAATGGGCGATGAATATAAGGGACTGGGAATTTTATGGTAAAAATAGTTTCTAGTGAATATATTGTCAAGTGTCCTAACTTTATTTTGTGAATAAAAATTGTGAACGTGGGTTATTATTATTTTTAATTTGTGGATTAATTACTGCATTTTTTAACGGCATTGAGAAGAATGATGATTTTGATCTTATTGGTGTTTGTGTAATGGGATTACAAGCAAAATACTGACATTCTGGTACATCGTGCTGTATATGTTGTACGTTTTCAATGCATATGTGATTTTGCACTTGCGGATGACTTCTTATATTGAAATGAAATAAATATCTTTTTGCAGTGTCAAATATTTTAAGTAAGAACAGATTTTGAGAGGGCGAATATATGATTAATGTTTTCCAAGAAATAGAATAGAGTAGAATGATTTATTCAAGAGCCGAGAGATTGAATTTTGTTCATGTAAACGTTATATGTTTTTAACACAACCAGATACCCTTAAAAATGGAAAAAATCTCAGAAAATTTAGCCATTTTTTTGATTAAAAGATAACTGAGCACTATCTAGCAACCCCTACCCCACATCCTTTGGCAATACTCACCCTGAAAAGAATAAAATTGTAATATTAAGAAAAGACGAGTAAATATTCATTCCTAGAATCCTTGGGGTTGATAATATACTGTTTGTGTTGCTGCTTGTTCTCTCTCCCTTAAGAGATTCGAGTCTTCTGTAATTACATAGATAAGAAGTATTATAAAGGTTTGCCGTGCTTAGTTGCGTTTGAGGGAAAGATGCCACCAATGTAAATTAGTTTATCAAAGGTGTATCCTCTTGTCGGTGTCTGTAATCAGTCTTGTCAACTGATGAAATCCATGGTTACATTTGAAAAAAATAAAATTGGGAAGGTATATAGATGTATTTCATGTGGGACATCAGTAAAAATGATTTTAAAATGATGAACTATTAGCTATACATTTGTTTAGGAAAAAAAAAAAAGAAAGTAATTAACTTTAAATTCTTTCTGTGACTTGAGCTGCTTTCACAAGCTAACCCAGTGAGGACATTGAAATCATTTATTTCTTACCATCCTTGAAGGTCGTTTATACATTGTAATTGGTATTAAAGTTCATCAGTTCATCTTACTGGAGATGTATGAAATCCATATTAGTTCCATGAGAATTTTGATGAAGCGATAAGTATTCAAATTTATATATTGTCCCTTTTGTCTGCTGATAAAGTTAAATAATAACTTGGTGGGTATCACATTAAGTACATGTTTGCAAAGCTTAAATATTTAAAGATTGTCTACCATACTTTTATAAACTCATTTCATATATCCACGACTTGTTTCACTTATTATCTGCACATTAAGATAAAATAAAAATTTAAGCTTTGCTTATCACGCACTAAAACTTCCATATCTATTTGGTTTAGTAGTAGATTGTTGAATCTCACAACATTTTCATCGATACAGTGCTGAAGAGCTAGAAAGAATATTTCTATTATACATGAGGCCTAAGTTCCCATGAGGAATGAATTGCTCAGATGAGATGCACGCTCTTGACAGATGGAGATTGACTTCTCAATTACATTAAATGATCCTAAACATTTAAAACAAATGAAGTCCTACTGCTCAGATGAGATGCACGCTCTTGACAGATGGAGATTGACTTCTCAGTTACTTTAAATTATCCTAAACATCTAAAGCAAATGAAATACTCGAGAACTATAGAAGAAAATTTAGCATTACTTAGTGGTTTGAGTGATTACATATCAGAGAAAGTCTTGACAACAGGAATAATTATAATTTGTCAGAGGAATGTATTCTTAATGAAAACAGCTTTTAACTCTTCAGAGCTCCTTGAAAAGGAAATAACAAAAGAATAGTCCTGGCAAGTAACTCGTGTGAACTCTTAATTCAACGAGGTAACTACTAGTGTAAATGCCAATATCGTTACTCCCTTAATGATAAGGGAGAAGTGGAAGACGTGAAATCTTGAAAGTCTCATGCTGCTTTCTACTTGGATATTGAGGAAGCACTAGGTTTCTAAAATGTTATTCACTTAGAAACAAATTGACGTAATAGGAAAAGGATAAAGAGGAGAGAAGAAGAGAAAAGGCAGAGGAAAAGAGAAGAAGAGGGAGGAGATAAAAGGAGGGGGATATGAACGGGAGAAGAATTAGACACATGGAGCAGGAATTTAAGAGAGAGAGTATCTTTATTTCATCATCAAAGTTGTATGAATTACATTGCATAAGCCCCATTTGGTTTAAACTAGTCCTGATTGAAGTAAAAAAAAATACTATAAAATCTATGAAAGCATACCTAATTATGTTTTCTACGATAAGCATCAAAATTGGAAACTAAATTAAATAATCTCTCTTTTAATATGCCATCACAAATGGTTTGGCCAGTTGAGTTATTCCTGGTCATGTTGAAAGGAATGACACTTTTGTATATCCATCGAGGAATCTAGATGGTGCCAAGTTGGAAGAGAAAGTACAGGGCAGATATTGTTAGATGCACGTGTTGGCAGCATGCATCAACTCAGGATTGAGAAATATAAATTATCAATTAAATTGTTGGTTTTATTGAATAGATTGGTTTTTGGTTCTTATCACCTTGAGATGCTTCAATCATGTTACTTTTTTTTTGTTTATTTTGCTCCTTTTCCTTTTCCTTTTCCCTATTCAATTGTAGCCTGTTCCTGGTATGCTTTTCTATATCATTTAGCTTATTCTTTCTTATTGAAACAGAAATATCGCCGCCTCAAGAAATGGACGATTTTTATCCATTGAATCTAACAAAACTACTGATTGTAAAGATTCTAATAAAGTCAATGAACCTTTTAAGGTTGAGGAAGCAGAGACAGTACATGCTCCCCCACCTCCATCAGAGAAGGTATTCTGTAACTGTAGCATAAATTACGTTTGTAATTTTCTATTTGTCCTCAGAATGGTAACTAGTATTTCTTATGCTTCTAATTCAGTTACTTATCCTGGGGGGAAATGGATTTGTCGGTTCACATGTTTGCAAGGAAGCTATAGATCGTGGTTTAGCTGTTGCTAGTCTCAGCAGGTATTTGTCTCTTTTTGCAATTTATCTGATTATCCTTTTTTATAATTATAATCTGACTGCACATAGTTTAATGAATCTGTCAACTTGGTGTTTATCCCTATCAAATTCTTCTGGCTATCTGATTGCTCATTTATGTTTTGAATATAACCTTCTCATTGAATGTTTACCTTTTGCTCTGGCTCAAGGAATGAGTAGATGCTATTTTCAATTTTTTATTATTTTTTATTTTTTTTTTATTATTATTATTATATATATATATATTTTTTGGAATTAACATGAGGAAATATTCCAGTTACTGAAGAATATATTTTCAAAACTGTTATAACATCAAAAAAAATATTGGATGATTCTGACACCAATTTGTTGTGATAATAGTCAAGAAAATAATATGACACAATATGGAGTAATTAATCACAAACTCATGAATAAAATAGTTGACAGAGGAATGAAATTTCACTAAAAAATGGATTAGAATGATCGTGTTTTTTGTCTTAACTTCTTCTAAAATACAGTGAACTGCTAAATATATATAAGGGAAGTTTCAAACCCAAAAAGTAGAATTATGGATGGAAAGGAAGCATCAAAACTCGAAAATAGGCTTGAACTGAATGACTATGGCGCACAAGCACCTGGCGGGTGCTGCCCAGATGCTCGAGCATCCAGATGGAACTAGGCTGGTGCCAGCAAGGCGAGCATAATTGCGCCAAAAGTCCTTCCTGGTCCATATCTTGATATCTTCAAGTCCAACACAAATTTCAACTCCCAATTGAGCTTCCAAATAGAACTTCAACTAGAATTTGCCAAATAGACTTCAAATAGTATTTCAAAAACATTCCAACAAACAGGGTTCCTCTTAATATCGACCTTAATTAGAATTCCCTATCATCTTCAACATAGAATTCGGGTTACACCTTAATTTTAACAAAAACCAAAAACCATGATCCATGAGGTCATTGTATCCTTCAAGGATGTGTGTTGGGTGAAACATTGAATGAACCCATATGGCTGTTGCCTTATCTTCTCTATTTAGTGACATGTAACTATACCAATGAATAAAGTGGTTTCTTTCTTCTTCTTCTGCACCCATACATGGGTACCAACTACCAAGTCTCAACAAGTGGGACATAGAAATTGTGTTCCAAAGGCCGATAGGTATAATTTGAAATAGAGAACATAAGTTTCCTGCTCAAAGGATAGAATACCTTATGTTCACTGACATTTTTTGTTTGCACGTATCAGTATTTCCAGAAGTAATTATTTTGTAATTCATTTTTTGTAAATTATTTATTGCCTCTGGCTGTTAGCTGTGCTGTGTGAATATGGTTTGCTTCCATTTTGATGCTTGAGAACTGGTTTTTGCCTTTTTTAGATCGGGTAGGTCATCCATACAAGAACCTTGGGCTAGCAGCGTGTCTTGGCATCAAGGTCTGCTAGTTGCAATCCTTTGTTATTTTGTTCTTTTATGATAAGAGATAACTGAAACCTGTCATCATTTCAATTTCCTTTTTTCACTTTCAGGAGATCTTCTTTCAACTGACTCGTGGAAGGATGCACTGAATGGAGTAACTTCAGTGGTGCGTATCCCCTGGCCTTTCAACTCCTACTAAAATGCTAACAGAGAATGGATGACATTTTTTTTTTTTTTAAGGAATTTAAAGAGAGAGAGTATCTTTATTCATCATCAAAGTTGTATGAATTACATTGCATAAGCCCCATTTGGTTTAAACTAGTCCTGATTGAAGTAAAAAAAAAATACTATAAAATCTATGAAAGCATACCTAATTATGTTTTCTACGATAAGCATCAAAATTGGAAACTAAATTAAATAATCTCTCTTTTAATATGCCATCACAAATGGTTTGGCCAGTTGAGTTATTCCTGGTCATGTTGAAAGGAATGACACTTTTGTATATCCATCGAGGAATCTAGATGGTGCCAAGTTGGAAGAGAAAGTACAGGGCAGATATTGTTGACAGAGATGCACGTGTTGGCAGCATGCATCAACTCAGGATTGAGAAATATAAATTATCAATTAAATTGTTGGTTTTATTGAATAGATTGGTTTTTGGTTCTTATCACCTTGAGATGCTTCAATCATGTTACTTTTTTTTTGTTTATTTTGCTCCTTTTCCTTTTCCTTTTCCCTATTCAATTGTAGCCTGTTCCTGGTATGCTTTTCTATATCATTTAGCTTATTCTTTCTTATTGAAACAGAAATATCGCCGCCTCAAGAAATGGACGATTTTTATCCATTGAATCTAACAAAACTACTGATTGTAAAGATTCTAATAAAGTCAATGAACCTTTTAAGGTTGAGGAAGCAGAGACAGTACATGCTCCCCCACCTCCATCAGAGAAGGTATTCTGTAACTGTAGCATAAATTACGTTTGTAATTTTCTATTTGTCCTCAGAATGGTAACTAGTATTTCTTATGCTTCTAATTCAGTTACTTATCCTGGGGGGAAATGGATTTGTCGGTTCACATGTTTGCAAGGAAGCTATAGATCGTGGTTTAGCTGTTGCTAGTCTCAGCAGGTATTTGTCTCTTTTTGCAATTTATCTGATTATCCTTTTTTATAATTATAATCTGACTGCACATAGTTTAATGAATCTGTCAACTTGGTGTTTATCCCTATCAAATTCTTCTGGCTATCTGATTGCTCATTTATGTTTTGAATATAACCTTCTCATTGAATGTTTACCTTTTGCTCTGGCTCAAGGAATGAGTAGATGCTATTTTCAATTTTTTATTATTTTTTATTTTTTTTTTATTATTATTATTATATATATATATATTTTTTGGAATTAACATGAGGAAATATTCCAGTTACTGAAGAATATATTTTCAAAACTGTTATAACATCAAAAAAAATATTGGATGATTCTGACACCAATTTGTTGTGATAATAGTCAAGAAAATAATATGACACAATATGGAGTAATTAATCACAAACTCATGAATAAAATAGTTGACAGAGGAATGAAATTTCACTAAAAAATGGATTAGAATGATCGTGTTTTTTGTCTTAACTTCTTCTAAAATACAGTGAACTGCTAAATATATATAAGGGAAGTTTCAAACCCAAAAAGTAGAATTATGGATGGAAAGGAAGCATCAAAACTCGAAAATAGGCTTGAACTGAATGACTATGGCGCACAAGCACCTGGCGGGTGCTGCCCAGATGCTCGAGCATCCAGATGGAACTAGGCTGGTGCCAGCAAGGCGAGCATAATTGCGCCAAAAGTCCTTCCTGGTCCATATCTTGATATCTTCAAGTCCAACACAAATTTCAACTCCCAATTGAGCTTCCAAATAGAACTTCAACTAGAATTTGCCAAATAGACTTCAAATAGTATTTCAAAAACATTCCAACAAACAGGGTTCCTCTTAATATCGACCTTAATTATAATTCCCTATCATCTTCAACATAGAATTCGGGTTACACCTTAATTTTAACAAAAACCAAAAACCATGATCCATGAGGTCATTGTATCCTTCAAGGATGTGTGTTGGGTGAAACATTGAATGAACCCATATGGCTGTTGCCTTATCTTCTCTATTTAGTGACATGTAACTATACCAATGAATAAAGTGGTTTCTTTCTTCTTCTTCTGCACCCATACATGGGTACCAACTACCAAGTCTCAACAAGTGGGACATAGAAATTGTGTTCCAAAGGCCGATAGGTATAATTTGAAATAGAGAACATAAGTTTCCTGCTCAAAGGATAGAATACCTTATGTTCACTGACATTTTTTGTTTGCACGTATCAGTATTTCCAGAAGTAATTATTTTGTAATTCATTTTTTGTAAATTATTTATTGCCTCTGGCTGTTAGCTGTGCTGTGTGAATATGGTTTGCTTCCATTTTGATGCTTGAGAACTGGTTTTTGCCTTTTTTAGATCGGGTAGGTCATCCATACAAGAACCTTGGGCTAGCAGCGTGTCTTGGCATCAAGGTCTGCTAGTTGCAATCCTTTGTTATTTTGTTCTTTTATGATAAGAGATAACTGAAACCTGTCATCATTTCAATTTCCTTTTTTCACTTTCAGGAGATCTTCTTTCAACTGACTCGTGGAAGGATGCACTGAATGGAGTAACTTCAGTGGTGCGTATCCCCTGGCCTTTCAACTCCTACTAAAATGCTAACAGAGAATGGATGACATTTTTTTTTTTTTTATCACAGTTATTTGATAACACAAAAGTTATATCCATTGTTTGGCAGGGCTGGGGAAAGGAGGGCAATAGATTTCTAAATGCTCTACTTAAGTTTTAAAAATAATGGAGAAGTTTACGAGTATGCTTAATGTTCATTTACTCATAGCTGGAACTAGGATAATCATAATAGAGAATTATGTTTTCTGAAAGAGTGATAGTTTTAAGTATTCTTGTTCAATTTTTATTAGGAAAGGAAGTCGTGAAGGGGGATGTAATGCTATGATGCAAGCGTGTCAAAGTAGAGAAGTGCTATTGGGATACGATTTGATCATAGAGTCCCATCGAGTTCAAAGGAAAGTTCTACAGAATCATTATTAGACCAGCTATACATGATTGAATATTGGGCTGCGAAAGGATAAAATAATAATAAGGGCGAGCACAGTGGCAAGGAAGATACCTGTGCTGGACCCCTAGTCTATTGACGATAAAGTTTCAAGGAGATAAAGCCTAGCTTCTTGTTGTTCTACATTTTCCGGATGGGGTGCGAGCGCTACTGATTGTTAGCTGCATAAGTTTTGCAATGTTTGGGCAGTTGAAATCATGTATATATGGAAAAAGAAAGAAAAAGTTTGATTGAATGCAGCATAGAGTTGTGATAACTCTGATATTTGAGAGTTAAGGATTATTTGTAAAAGCAACTTTTTAACTGATTGACTGTTCCACAATGTTACAAGTCTATGTTATGTTACATGGATTCAGTCACATGTCAAACTGGGTATGTTTTGCCAAAAATATACCGTTGTTTGAGTATGAAGCAACAAACATGAGCTATTGTGTCTGAACAGAAGAGACCAAGTACATGTAGTTGGCGAGTCATCTTTTATAGTGCTATAGCCTTCGGATGTACAATCATCCACCAGTCTAATGAACTTCACTATTGTACAGCACCGTTGAAGAGAGAAATATTTCCATGGTCAAACCAATTACGAGCGGATTTTGAATAACACTGCGATAATTTCACTAATTAGTTATGACATCATAAAGTGATGGATCAATCAATGCAAGGAAAAGAAGTGCCTCCAATTGTATTCTTATATGGATTTTCATGTTAATGTCCCACAATATACTATATTTACATATCAGCCTACTTCCAGTGTGGGGTATCTTATCTTGACCATTGAATTTTGATTCAATGCTTGAGATTAAAAGTAATCACCCAAGGTTAGGGTGGAAGTATCCAGCATTTTTATTCTTTCTTTCTTTCTTTCTCTCTCTAGCTCTATTTACCTTTCGACCTCCTTACCTATCTAGTTCTCTTTGCATCTGTACACAAAGAGGGAGAGGGATAGGGGGACACACACATATTAACATGCACACATACACACACAGAGACACAGATAAGTTTTTTCTATTTTTCCTTTTCCTTTTTTCTTTGAGCACGAATGTGTGTGTAAGGACGTACTGGCTTCATCTTTTTTGCTTCTAGTCATTTTTTACTTTAGCGCTCTGATTTTATTGACAAACGTATACGAACATATTTTTGGGTGCTTTGTACTGTACAATATTTCGGGCTTAGTGGAATGAGTTACGTTAGACCCAAACCTCTTCGTTTCTCCAAATCTTCCCCTGTGATGAGACTTGGAAGTTGCAACATTTGTAGGTTTGCTAAAATATTAATCACTATGATATCCTGTGGTTTAGAATTTTGTTTTACTCCCTTTTTCTGGTAATTTTATTTGTTAATTAATGATTAGTACGCTGATTAAGTGTGTCAGTTCTTGTCCTTTTTATGCTGTTTTCATTTTGTAACTGGTGCTAGTGTTACTGTCGCAGATTTCTTGTGTTGGTGGTTTTGGTTCCAATTCTCACATGTATAAAATCAACGGGACTGCAAACATCAATGCTATTAGAGCTGCTGCTGAAGAAGGTATTGACATTGATCAATTCTCTCTTTTCTTCGGGTATAATGACAGATCACTTGTCCTTGTTTTCTTTGTTGATTTTGAAAATATTTAGTGAGCATCTGAAGGACAAGTTTGATGTTAGAATTCATTTGAAGATTTCCTTGGATGACATCTTAATTTTTTCTAATATTTGAGATATTTTCTTTCTGGAAATTACAGTAGTATCCTCGGCAACATTTAGATAATTTGCACTATGGCTTCTTAGTTTTGGCCTTGTACCATTGTATGTGTTTTTTAGTCTCTGTCTTGGTGCTCCCTCAATTAGAAACAAGTGAAATGAAGGGATAATCGAGTGCAGATTGTAATTTGTAAGTGCAAACATGTTTGAAGCCCAATTTTTTTCGTTCTTTCCAGAAGTTGAAAATTAATTTAATTAATCCTCTTGCTGTTTAGGTTGACAATATGAACAAGAAAAAATCTCATGATGGGCAGAAAAGTGGGTGGTTTTTTTGTTTATTACTGCTAGCTTTTATATATAGATAAGTAGAACTTCATCACCCACGTCATTTGTAGTGGAATTATTTTGAGATTTACATACGTTGATAGCATAATAGTTGGGATTTTCTCCTTTGGTTTCTGCATTGCTTTTTTGGAGAATTTATACGAATTTTCATTTATTTTGATGTAGCTTCTCCATGATGCTAAAGCTGATTATGGTTTGCACTTTCAACAAAATTTTCCCTCTTTTCTTATTTCAAAATTTTTGCTAACCTTTTTAATATTCACCTATAGGAGTGAAGAGATTTGTGTACATCTCTGCTGCTGACTTTGGAGTGGTAAACTATTTGCTACAAGGATATTATGAAGGAAAGGTAATATGACATTATTATAGCATTTAATACGAATAAATTATTGTTGGTTCAAAATGATGGTCGAAGAAAACATTATTATTCGATTACACATGGCTAATCAAGAACTTGAAACGTATGCCATATGCTTGATATCTAGTTTGCTATATGTATTATGATGCAGAGAGCTGCTGAGACGGAGCTTTTGACAAGGTATACCTATGGAGGTGAGGTTTTCTCCTATACTAATCCCTGCAATCTTCATTTAGCAAACAACGTGTTGGTAGTTTGTTTACCTTCTCTTCGTTTGAGCTTGAAGGTTATAAGCTTGTCACTTCATGAAAAGTAGTACAGTTTCCCCCTTTTTCTTCCACTTTGATAGTGTTATATAGCCTGTTCGTGTCACTTTTCAATTGTAAAGAATCTACTGAGGACCAAGGCACCCTCTTTTAACTTCCTAATTTTCCAAATATTCGTTCTGAGAATCGAACTCTTGGGCTTCATTTTATCTGTATTCTTAAAATCTCATATTTTGGCACTCATTTAAAATTGGGCGCTTACTGAAAATTGAATAGGATGCTTTTCGATCCTAACCAGAGTTCATGCTGTTTCAGGAGTAATTCTGAGGCCGGGTTTTATATATGGAACTCGTCGTGTTGGCAGTATGAAATTGCCTCTAGGTGTCATTGGTTCTCCAATGGAAATGGTAAGATACATAGGCGTGCAGCAGCTGTGACCAAATGAAGCATAATTCTATATTTGGCGATTTCCGCTAGTACTAAATTATTTAGTCAAATGAATTGCATTCACACTGAGGTATATACTATATAATTTCTTCCTTATATGCAGGTTCTCCAACATGCAAAACCACTGAGCCAGGTCCCCCTTGTCGGACCCCTTTTCACTCCTCCTGTTAATGTTACAGCGGTCGCAAAGGTTGCTGTACGAGCAGCGACTGACCCTGTTTTCCCTCCGGGAATTATTGACGTCCATGGTATTATCCGTTACAGCCAGCAGAAATCTGTATAGAGGACCAATCCTTCCTTTCCTCCATGGTAGAGTTTCCATACGTACAGCTAAATTTTTCTCAACCACTCTTCTCGGAATCTTTTAAGTATAATTTACTTTTGTTAAATTTGAATAATCAAAATGCAATAAAAGATGTGCCATGCACAGAACTATGAATTTTTTTTGTTGTGGTCTATTATCTCTGTCAAACTTGGGGTGAATTCAGTTAGAAATCATCTCTTGATTTGGTCAGACGATTACATTATGTTTTTCCCTCAAAAAGGGGGGAGGGAAAGTGCGCTAAATTTCTTTCTTTGTGCTTTAATTTTCTAAAATATATAGTTGTTTACTGTTTTATGCTTTTGACCAAGAAAATGATTGCTTGCTAAATGATATTTTTTTCGTCTTGTAGTATGCATAGCTCGAAATTGGTGGAATTATTTTTTTTGTAAAAATATTTTTATAGAATAAATTATCCTTAGATGTAACTTTGAGTTCTTTTAAAATTGGGACAGAAAGGAGGAGAATCTTCGTTTATTTTTTTTCGGGATGTAGACTAATCGTTTGTTTGAACAATGATAATGTGAGATGTACATTTACTTTTTTACCGAAGTTTTTACCTACACACACAATTGAATGGCTGGTTCCACATGTCTGAATTTTTAAATGTACGTGGGGCCTGTGTGCATATGAGAGTAGGTAACCAATTCGGTAACCCAAATTCGGTACATATATATTTATCCAAAAGAAAATGAGTAAAATTCACCTTTGAAGTTTAAAGCGAAACTTCAACTTGGTACTTGAGTGTAAAATCTTGTGATTTAGTCCACTCATCGAGTGAAGCGGTCATTTTCAAATGCTCTATTTGAAGAGGAATATGTAACTCTTATAATATACTCCAAATTCGAAAAGTCCATTGCTTTCTCAAAGTCTTTATAAATGTACATGTCCCCCAACATATTCTTTTGATTTCAGATAGAAATGTAGGATTAACCTGCTTCATTAAATCTAAGAAAAACTTTTTATAATCACTCAGTTGCACACATCATCTCTTTCGTGCACACCTTCGTGCTCGATCAACTCGATGCAACTATAAATCGAGATAATCAAATAAAATATTTTCATATTTATAGTACTTCTATCCCGAACTGATCCTATATTCACAATTTGAACTTACTCTTTCCATTCATATTTAGTGAAAAATCTCTACCTTGATTTCAAGCTAATCTTATTCCCACCAAGATCCCTTCCCCCCCTTCAACAACCAGTGTCACACACACCTGCAAGATTTTGCTAGTGAAAATTATCATTTAAACCACAATCATCGAGGCTCCTTTCTTTTGAGTATTGAGAGCTTAATAAAAATAAAAAATTAATTTTAGGTAATTACCTTTCAATTTTATTGTCAAACTCACTATTGATTTCGTTAGTTACACTGGCTTTCTTTCGTTGTCTCTATTTTTAAAGTAAAAAACTAAATCTTATTGTCATGAGAACTTGTCTTTAATGTAAAAATAGGATACATCAACCTAAATAGCTCAAAAACATCAAGGTCGTCCGTGGTAGTAAAAGATGAAATTAGTTGCACAAAGTATATTATACTTGTCGCTATTAGGGAAAAAAAATTATAATCTCTTATATTATGCGATTGAATTAAGTTTGTTTCTTTATGTTTGTTATAAAAAGTTTCATTCAATGCCTACCCAACGAGCTCTTGCGGCGGCCGCTCGCTCGCTCATTATTATTATTATTATTTGTCTGGCAATAGATTCTTTCACCACAAATTCTTCTTTAGCATAGCTTTTCAAAATCAACTTTTTTTTTTCCTTCAGAAGAAGACATTATCTGGGACTTGTTTGCTTTTATTTCAAAAAAAATTAGGACTACAATTAAAATTAGTTTTTTTTTATTTAAATAGGAGAGTATATTCATCATTTTCAATCTTTTTATTAAGAAAATAGACAACAATGATCTTTTCGCCAATTCCAATAGGGGAGAAGGAGGGAGAGAGAGAGTTTTGCACACCATGTCTAATAGGCAGGGAATTTTTCCCAAGTTATTGGGATTTAACGACATAATTGATGGAACATGACTACATATGGGTATTCCGCATTAAAGATTTCAAACATGGATCTTTTATGCTATTTCCAAAAGGTAGGAGGTTTTCGGTAGCTTGTCCAATATGTGGGAGGTTTTGTACTGTTTAGCCATAATAAAAATATTTATCTTTTTTTTTATAATAAAAGAGAATTTATTTTTGTTCTGAATTCAATAATTTAATATCAAAATAAGGCCGCCGGACAAATATTTAAACTAATGAAATTCATGTATAAAATGAGATTGTGAACCTTTTATATGCTTGTTACTTGGAGGTTATTCAAGTTACGATGGACGACCTACAATTAGTAGGCGAAGTGAAGAAGCTCAATAATTAAAATTATACAATATGGTTATCTTTCATGGAGTCGTACCTTTAAGGGTAAGATTTATGGTATGTAGTTGACGACCATGACCTGACACCACCAGAGGAAGCCGGAACTCTCAAGAATAGGAAAATTAAATTGGGTAAGGCTATTTTCATTATAAAGACAATAATCGAGTAAGATTTTTGGAGTAAATAAGCGACAAAAATAAACGAAATGAAGCACAAGGCACCTTGATCACACTATTCAAAAAGAAAAATGACTTGAAATTGCAACTGTGGAAAAATGGACTGTTCTCTATCTGTAACACCCTCAAAACTAGATACCCTACACTTGAAAGTATTATCATTTTTAATTTTCATTTAAAATCATAAATGCAAAAAGTGATTATTATTATTTTTTCAATATAAAAGACATTAGTATCTTTCACTTATTGAAAGAATTTTAGAATTTATTTTTTTATAAAAATATAAGATAATTATATTATATATTACCTTTATTTTAAATTAAGCCAGTATTAAATGTAATAGTATTAAATGTGTCTACTTACAAGTCGCCATTTAGAACCACTTTGCTTTAATCATTTAAAAAATGAAGAGGGATAATGTGGAATGAACTAACGTTCAATAAGCAAACCTCATACATATGATGTATGCATATACATTGTTTTAAAATGAATGGTTTTTCCCAATATGTATCCTATTTTCTTTCATTTCTTTAATAACTTCAAAAAATAAAATTGTCAGCCAACTTTACTGTATCACATAGCCAATAAAATACAATGTACAATTATTATTTGGAATCCGATTCAATATATCAGTAGTACTGCAAAGTGATTACATTAACGTTAACATTCAACATTGATCAGGTATATCAATCCCCAAATTCCATTTCCCACTAGCTAATACATTTCATGGTATAGACATACATCTTTTTAAAATATTCGTGGTACATATCCCTCTTTTCTTAAAAGAGGGAATCCACTGATTACAATTCATTCATGATGTATTTTGTTTTCTCCTTTTATCCTCAAAGAAAATAACAAAATACTGACGCCATTGGTAGTCAATTCAACCAATTTTGTGTTGTACTGATGCCATTTCAACTAAATTTTATTATTATATACAAAATATCTTCATTGTGGTCAAATTTGCAAAGATTGGTCAACAATGTATATATAAAGGGAATAAATCTTTTTTGACCTGATTTAGAAAATTTCTTAATAAACTTTTATATTATTTTTAGTGTAAAAAGAGACATGATTTAAAAAATAAAAATTTTTGATAATAAGTTGACTTTAAAATTCATCAGTGATTGTACGGTAGTCGAATCTATAAATGTTCTATATTCTCTCAAAGCTCATTTTGAGAACTATATCATAGATACATCGAATAATCTAGATGAATATCGAAAATAGTGCTTATTATTAAAAAATCAATTATTTTCTTAGTGTTTATTATTATAATTTTCTTAATATAATTAGAACGATAGAAAGTATGTTTTCATAAAAGATGTCATAAAAGGAAGAGAATAACAATAATTAGGGTTTTGGAAGGGAAAAATAGTGGATTTTGACGTCAAAAACGATGCCCACCCAACGAAGCTTGGTGGCCATGACGTGCGTGTCGAAAAGAGCTTTTCAAAAATACGTTTCGAAAATAAAATAAAATTTAAGACTCCGCGCGGTGCGGAGTGTTGGGGGAACACTGCGCGCACGTCATGGCCACCAAGCTTCGCTTGGTGGGCATCATTTTCGACGTCGAAATCCACTGTTTTTCCCTTCCGAATTCTGAATTACTGTTAAAATAATCAAGATGTTTTTATTTTTGTTTTGTTTTTCCCTCACGCGTGTCCCCATGGCACTAATTTTAGAAGTGGACAATTTTAAATCAATATGACAGTTGCCCATACATCAATAAATGGCACTCACCTGTGGACAAAAAAAGCAAAATGCGTGTGTGTTGAACCAACAATGACTTTTCTGTTAAAATATTTAGTTGTTCTTTTAAATTATATTTTGCTTTCGGGCGACTTCTTTCTAATTTAGTAATAAATACTTTGTAAGAGGCCCAAATTCTATGTTTCAACATCATATTACATTGAGGTGATTCTTTAACTAACATTTATTATATAACATCATTTTTCCATAGTGCCATTTGCCGCTTTTGTAATCTATTTTAGAATGGACTTCAAAAGGACAATTTAATCGACCTTAGTTACTAGTCACTACCTGCCTAGCCGCACAAAATCCATTAAATTTTTCTTTAATTTATACTCTTACTAATATTATGCAGGAAATATTATGCATGTAAGTAAAATGAGATCTAATCTTAATGAGATTGGGTAAAACGTTAATTTAATCCATGAGATAGTATCCAACTTGGTAAGCTGCCATAGCATGATTGTTTAAATGTGATGTAATTTTATTTTGTTTTTGCTACATTTTTATCTCACAATAATTCCTTCTAAATATCTTTATGAATGTGGGAAACTTTTTATGATTATTACAATGGACCATCTAATGGATGATCAAGTCATAACAAGAGGAAAACTTGACTAATCATCGTCATACCAGTTTCAAGACAACATCAATGCCACAACACAAAAGTTTTATTTGCTCATTTTGTCATTTCCATCTAAATGATTCTACCACAACCACCTCAAAAGCTTTGTTTTATTTAGTAGCACTGATAACAAGAACTTTGTGAGTCTGTTGGCTTGTAACTTTGTTCTGTTTTGAAATACTGCTTATGTGAAAACTCTTCCATGAAGTTTGAGCTTAACAAAAATATATAATAAGCTTCATGATGCTTTAACTTCTAATTTGACTGTGAAGATATAACGAGTGCAACTTCTGAAAGCTCTTTTCGACACGCATGTCGTGGCCACCCAGCTTC